TGAATTCCTCCGTACCATCTGGTCACTATGACAACAACATTCATAACTTCAGTTTCTGTAGGAGATGCATCAAACGTCCGTCCGCTAAATACTCTCCATCGTCGTCACATCTTGCAGCAAAACACCGTTCGTTTTGTAATTCTATACGCGGAGATGTTGTGCTTCGCCTGAGAGATTTTCTTGTTCTGCAGAAGTAATTTTATTACGTTCCTGAAACAAACAAAAAGAAATAAACGTAAATTTTAAATTAACACTTTCAGTAAGGTAATAATTACTTGACGTCTTCCTCTGAATTGACAACGCATACGTGACCTTGGAAGATGCTCTTCCTGTCTTGAATAGTCTCTCCATGAATGATGTTGTAATTTACGTTTGACTGTTTTCCCGTTATCTTCAGATTGTTGTCTGTTTTCTTCTTTCCGTTTTGTTGTTGTTCTTATCTTTTTTGCCTTTGTTATTGCCTTCTTTCTGGACAATATCCTTGATCCTTTCTATCGATTGGAACAGCACTGGTCCACCAATATTATCACTGCATTAAAAACAAAGTATTATTAAACTACTCTGAAATGTTTCCTTTCAGTCAATTTATACTTACAAGTAGATCTCATCGAGTGCGCAAGTTATGATGTATTTAACATTTTTCGTCAAATTGGGTGCCAACAAGTCGTACGATGGTGGTCCTTCCAATGGATACGAAGAGTTCAAAGTGATGTACAATTCAACGTCTTGAGCAATGTTGATGCTGTACAAATTCTTGACGATATCATTCTCTTTCCATTGACTTCCGTAGATTGATTTCAATGAAACCAATTCTTCGGCTTGCAAAGCGTTTTTGTTCATATTCATACTGAAGAAACTTAGCAAAATATAAGCAAAAGTATTACTGATGTTGCAACTAACACTGCTGGTTTCAGAATGATTTTGTTAAGGTTGAGCTGCAGTACGATACTAATATACCTGCTTAACCTAGGGTCAGGTAATAAGAAAGTGGAGGGGATATGGGTTTTCTCCGAATTATGAACGTACACAACCTTTTATTTATTTTATTAATTAAATTAAAAATCAGTAAAAGCAAAATAATTTCATTATTATACTTAAAATTTCCGATAATCGAAAATCATCAAACACTTTTAATTGTTTGAACTTTTCTATTATTTTCCTTTTTGAAACAAAAGTCTATCGACAATACTTTTTCCACGAAACAACTCAATTTTATTTAAATTAAAGCATGTTTCATGTTTTTGTTGACTTTAGTTAATCAAATTATAATAAATATATTGATATTATTGAAAACTATAAACAGTGATAATATTTTTAATGTAATGTTTTATAACATGCAAAAAAAATATTTTTAGTTAATATATTATTTCTTGAGAATATTTGTTCAAAACTTATCATTTTTATAACAAAATTATGACTATTGATTACACATATTTTTGAAACATTATTAAAATATTTACAGTATGTTAATTATTCATCTCGAGTTGATATACATTTATAATAATATTAAATAAAACATATTAATTGTAAACATTTCATCAAATCTTTTTACTTTCTCATTTTCTAAATTTTATAAAAAAAAAAACAAATTGTTGTGTGTTGAATTGATTTTTACGTTGTTTATTTCATCACAAAATTAAATCCTTTTTAAGATTACACAAGGTCATGTGGAAAATTCCCAGAAATATTTTTTTTTCGCAGAATCAAGTCAGTTAGCATATTATATCTTCAATTATTAATTAATAATTGTATAATTTTGACGTTAATTATTATAATAATAATTGATCTACATATATTTATGTAAATTTAGAGAATAACAACTACAAATTATCAAGTTTGTCATGATTAATACAATTTTTCAGGTGGATAGTTAGAACATTAAATAATGAACGAAATTATTCGTTATTTTCTTTGTACTCTATAAATTCACTTTATAATCGCAATCATTAGACGTGCAGTTAGACGAGTTTGTGTAAACATCAGTGAATTTTGTAAATTAACTTAAAACTTTAGAATTAATTTCAGTTTTCAACTAACAGCGATGAATTTATGTCAACATTTTTATGTTTTTAATCAAATAATTCATTAATTTTTATAAATTAAGTCTAACTTTTTTTATTTTGCACTTTTTTTCGTTAGTAATAATATTGTAATTGTTGTAACAAATATCGTTATTATTTATTAATATATAAATATCAATCAAAGCGATATTTATTATTAACAACTTCCAAGAATTAAATTTTAGATTTTTCAATAATCTTTTATTAAATGTTATTGTTTATAGCAATTAAAATTTATTTATCAAAAACAAAAACTTATTAATTAATAACAAAAATAATTGAATAAATGTTAAGAAGAAATCTTTCAAATAATTTATCAAACATTTTGCGGAACCCTGAATTTGACACTAATAAACGGTTTGGATCAAAATCCCGACAACTAACAACGCTCATTTCTAAATTCATTTGTTTTACGTCTATATCAATATAATAAAATAATACTGTCGGAATTATGGTTGTCGCGATTTGTACTATGTCGGGATTTCGAATGTCGAGAATTTGATTGTCAGAATTTCAATTTAGACCAAAGAGTTGAACTGAAAATAATTTCGTTCCAGTTCACGGTTACGTTCCAAGTAAATGTTTATCGTTTCACATTCGTCTAAAAAGTACGGTTCAATTCCAGTTGAAATTAAAATTTAACGTTCGATACGTAACACAGAAACGATCTTATTTTCGGTTTTGCTAAAAAATCCGATTATTTCGGTTCGACTCTGTGGTTGGGATGTATTCAAATATATTAATGGAGATAAATATTGGCTCTTCCAAGAGTGCAAGGAAAAAATAAATTATTTATATGTAATATTAATTATTCAACATTTTATTTTAAATTAACAATATAATAAAGATTTATATATATGCAATTGAAAATTGTAACTATGATTAAGTAACTATTCTTTAATTAGACGAAACCTCCGGTTTGCAAAGCCAATCTGGCTGCATGGTTGATGTGCTTGAATCTGTCTTTGCCCAGGTGAATTCCTCCGTACCATCTGGTCACTATGACAACAACATTCATAACGTTCAGTATCTGAAGGAGATGCATCAAACGTCCGTCTGCTAAATTCTCTCCATCGTCGTCACAATCTTGCAGCAAGACACCGTTCGGTTTTGTAATTCTATAAGCGGAGATGTTGTGCTTCGCTTGAGAGATTTTCTTGTTCTGCAGAAGCAATTTTATTACGTTCCTAAAACAAACAAAAAGAAATAAACGTAAATTTTAAATTAACACTTTCAGTAAGGTAATAATTACTTGACGTCTTCCTCTGAATTGACAACGCATACGTGACCTTGGAAGATGCTCTTCCTGTCTTCAATGGTCTCTCCATGGATGATGTTGTATTTTACGTTTGACTGCTTTCCCGTTATCTTCAGTTTGTTGTCTGTTTTCTTCTTTCCGTTGCTGTTGTTGTTCTTATCTTTTTTGCCTTTGTATTTGCATTCTTTCTGGACAATATCCTTGATCCTTTCAATCGATTGGAACAGCACTGGTCCACCAATATTATCACTGCATTAAAAACATAGAATTATTAAACTATTCTGAAATGTTTCCTTTCAGACAATTTATACTTACAAGTAGATCTCATCGAGTGCACAATTTATGATGTATTTAACGTTTTTCGTCAATATGGGTGCCAACAAGTCATACGATGGTGGTCCTTCCAATGGATACGAAGAGTTCAAAGTGATGTATAATTCAACGTCTTTAGCAATGTTGATGCTGTACAAATTCTCGACTACATCATTCTCTTTCCATTGACTTCCGTAAATTGATTTCAATGTTACCAATTCTTCGGCTTGCAAAGCGTTGTTGTTCATATTCATACTCAAGAAGCTAAGTAAAATGAAGCAAAAGTATTACTGATGTTGCAACTAACACTGTTGGTTTCAGAATGATTTTGTTAAAGTTTACGTCCAGGTTACCTGCCTAATATGGTGTGTTTTTCCGTAAAAAAAAGAGGGGGAAATAATGATTTCCTAGTAAAACTTTATTTTTCTTTTATTACCCCCAATATTGAAATTGAAAAATATTTTTAAGTAATTAGCGAACAGAGAACGCATAAACTTGGCAACGGTTAATTATAATAATTATTATTTGTATTGTAAATTGTCTCAAACTGTGCTATTGCTTTGTTATAAATAAATGTATACATTTTTTAGTTTCAGAGGAATAATTAATAATATAATTTTTTTTTTCATGTGAGTTTTATTATTTTGCACTTTTCTTCGTTAGTAACCAAATATCGTTATTATTTATTATTATATCAATATCAATCAAAGCGATATTCATTATTTGTAGTTAGTAACAATTTCCACAAATTAAATTTCAGATTTTTCAATAATTCCTCCTACCTTTTATTAAATGTTAATTGTATCACAATTAAAATGTATATATTATAAACAAAAACTTTTTAATGAATTACATAAAACAATTATTAATTTAAAGAAATATTTCAAATAATTCAATGATTTTGCTTTTCATATCTATGGTTATTTTTATTCTTTGATTGTTATTAAATTTTGCACAAAAAATATACACAAATAACATCTTTAAATACAAGTTTGGAAATGTTGTTATCACAAACAATTCTAAGAAGCAACTAGAATGACCACTAATACTAGGAACTGTAGTAGTGGCCGACCATTTTATTATCATCTATTGTATAATAAATATGTATATTTGTTAGATCTATTACTTTCCTCTTAATTATTTCAAATCGTGTTAATATAACTTGTGGAATATTTCGAAGTATTGTTACGAAGTATTGTATAACTGCGTCTATTTTATCAACAGCCTTCTTTTGTCCTTAGATATTTGGGTAGGAACATAAAAATTAGATAATGAAACGGTTTTAATTTCCACAAGGTCAAAACTGATTTCCATACCTCCTACGCAGTCCCTCTTTGAAATAGTTACATTTTTGTATTACATAATTTAGTCTTAATTAGAGGACCGAAGGGAGAAAAGAGTCTTAATTGGAGGGTTGAAGTATAAACATGGTCTTACTTGAAGAGTCCAAGAAAGATCACTTAATTATTAACTTAAAGAGGAGAATGTAACTCTTAGTTAATAATAATTAGTTGCATAGTTGACTTTTTCTCAATGAAAACTCTGATGTGTATAATAAAACTAATTAGGAATATTGCATTTAATATTCGTAAATCTGAGATTTCTTAATCACGATAAAATAATAATCGGGATTTTTACTATGTCGGGAATTTGATTGTCAGGATTTCAATATAGACCCACTAATAAATTATATTTGTTGTTTTTTTTTTAATTTATTTCTGAGAAATTCCTCCCAAATTTCGAAGGGTAACATTTTATTGCTTCGAAGCAATAATACAAAAATGACTGATTTACAATGTATTATGAGAAACAGATATTTTTTTCTAGAAATTTATATTTCTTACTAAACTCAATGCAACACGTGACAATAGAATTAAACTAAATAATTATGTGTTAATGATAATGATTTAACTAATTATCAGAAGTAATTATTCGATGAAACATTTTCACTAAATTATTAATTTAGAATGAGTTATTAAATGAATTAAAACAAGATATCCATGTAATTTATGGCAATTTGCTTTAAAATAATTTTTTTTTTTTGCAGAATCAGGTCAGTTAGCATTAAGATATTAAATTTTTTTGAGTATCCCTTGACCGTCGCCGACCTCTCGCGTACCTAAATCTTTAACACGTTAAGGACGGCGCTTTTCGGGTTGTCTGCCCCCAGAAAATTTTT